GTTGGAATTTATTGAATGCTTTTTCTGTATCTATTGAGATGATCATATAGTCTTTGTTTTGCTTCTGTTTATGTCGTGAATGTTTATTGATTTGCGTACATTAAATCATCCTTGCATCCCTGGGATGAAACCCACTTCATCAGGGTGAATTGTCTTTTTGATGTGTTGTTGAATTTGTACTGCTAGTATTTTGTTTAGAACTTCTGCATCTATGTTCATAAGGGATTTTGGTCTGTAATTTTCCTTTTTATTTTTTTTGTTGTGTCATTTCCTGGCTTTGGTGTAAAGGTGATATTAGCTTCACTAAATGAATTAGGGAGGATTCCCTCCTTCTTGATGTTTTGGAATAACTTTTGTAGGATAGGTACCTGTTCTTTTGTGTACATCTGATAGCATTTGGTTGTGGATCTGTCTGGTCCAGGGCTTTTTTGTTGTTGGTAGATTTTTTACTACTGCTTCAATCTCACTGCTTGTTATTGGTCTGTTCAGGATTTCTATTTCTTCCTGATTCAGGCTTATGAGGTTGTGTTTCCAGGAATTTACCTGTTTGCTTTGTGTTTTCTAGTTTGTGTACATACGGGTTGCCGTCGTATTCACGGAGGATATTTTGTACTTTTGTGGTATCAGTTGTAATATTTCTCTTCTCATTTCTGATTGAGGTTATTTGAGTCTTTTGTATTTTCTGGTTAATCTGGCTAGTGGTCTATTGATTTTGTTTATCTTTTCAAAGAGCCAACTTTTTGTTTCATAGATCCTTTTTTTTTTTCTTGGTTTCTATATTGTTTACTTCTGCTCTAAACTTTGTTATTTCTTTTCTTCTGCTAGCTTTGGGTTTGGTTTGCTCTTCTATTTCTAGTTCCTTGAGATGTGACATTAGGTTGTTAATTTGTGATTTCTGTGTGTGTGTGTGTGTATGTTTTAATGTAGACATTTAAGGCTATGAACTTTCCACTTAGGACTGCTTTTATGGTATCCCATAGATTTTGAAACTTGTGTCTCCTTTGTCATTCAGTTCGAGGAATCTTTTAATTTCCATTTTAATTTCATCATTGATCCAAGGATTGTTGAGTAGCAGGTTAATTTCCATGACTTTTGTGTGGATTTTAGTGTTTTCTCTTGGAATTGATTTCTAACTTCATTCCACTGTGGTCTGAGAAGATATATGGTATGACTTTGATTTTTCTGAATTTACTGAGATTTGTTTTCTGGCCCTAAGATATGATCAGTCTTGGAAAACGTCCCATGTGCTAATAAGAAGAATGCATATTCAGTAGTTTTTAGGTAGCATGTTCTATAAATGTCTGTTAGGTCCATTTGTTCTAGAGTTCCATTTCAGCCCAGTTTTCTAATTGCTTTTCTGCTTTGATGATCTGTCTAGCTCTGTCAGTGGAATGTTGAAGTCCCTAGCAACTACACTGCTGTTGATTTCTTTGTGTGATCTGGTAGAATTTGCTTTATGAATCTGGGAGCTCCTGTTTAGCTGCATATATATTTAAGATTGCTATGTCTTGTTGAATTGCTCCCTTTACCATTATATAATGACCATCTTTGCCCTTTTTTTTCACCCATGTTGATTTTAAGTCCATGTTAGCACAATTCACAATTGCAAAGATGTGGAAACAATCTGAGTGTCCTTCAATCCATGAGTGGATTAATAAAATGTGGTATATGTATACTATGGAATACTACTCAATTACAAAAAATCAATAGTGAGCTAGCACCTCTTATATTATCCTGGATAGAGCTTAAGCCCATCCTTCAAAGTGAGGTATCACAAGAATGGAAAAATAAGTACCACATGTAATCACCATCAAATTGGTACTGATGAACACTAGGTGCTCACATGGTAGTAATATTCACTGGGGGTCCATCAGGTGGGGAGGAGGTAAACTCACAACTAATGGATCCAGTGTGCACTGTATGGGGGAAGGGCATGCCTCTAGACCTGGCTTGGGAAAGGCAAAGTCATTACTTGTAACCAAAATGTTTGTACCCCCATGATATCCTGAAATAAAAACAAATAAATAAATAAAAATAAAGTCTATTTTATCTGGTTGCCATTTTTGTGTAATTATTTTTTCTATCTCTTTACCTTGAGTCTGTGTGAGTCCTTGTGAGTTAGATGTGTTTCTTGGAGACAGCATATATGTGGGGTGTTTTTCATCCAGTTATCAAATCTATGTCTTGAATGTGGCATTAAGACTGTTCATGCTCAATGTTATTACTGGTATGTGAGATACTGTTCTGTTCATTATATTGGGTGATATCTTATTGTTTTGTTTTCCCTCCTGTGCTATTGTTTCATTAGAGCTGTGAACTTTAACTTCCAGGTGTTTTTACACTGCAAGGTATCTATTGTGCTATTCCATGTATAATGCACTTTTGAATATTTTCTTTAGGGCTGGTCTAGTAGTGACAAATTCCCTTAGTGTCTGCTTGTCTGGAGAAGTCTTTATGTCTCCATCATTTATGAAATAGAGTTAAAGGATACAAAATTCTTAGCTGGCAATTGTTCTGTTTAGGAAGATTAAAAATCCCTTCTGGCTTGTAAGATCTCTGCTGAGAAGTCTGCTGGTAGCTGATGGGTTTTCCTTTGTAGATTAGTTGTTGCTTTCGTCTGGTAACTTATAGAATTTTCTACTTCATTTTGATTTTGGCCATGTTGATGACTACGTGTCTTGGAGATGTCCTATTTGCTATGAATTTTCCCTTCTTATATCTGCATATCTGAATCTCTGGTGATACCAGCAAAGTTTTTCTCAATAATTCCCTTGAATAGGTTTTCCATGCTTTTCACTTCTCTTCTTTTCCCTCTGTGATAACTATAATTCTTATATTGGCCTGCTTTGCATAGTCCCATATTTCTGTGATTGTTCATTCTTCTTTATCCTTTTCCCTGCATTTTTGACTGATTGGGTTAGTTAGAAAGCCTTATCTTCAAGCTCTGAAATTCTTTCTTCTGCTTAGTCTAACCTATTGTTGAAGCTTTCTGCTGTATTTTCAAATTCCCTAAATGATTCTTTCATTTCTTTAAGCTCTGTTATATCTTTTCTTATGTTGTCTATTTCTTTAGCAAGTTTGTAATTTTTTTCATTCATTTCCTGAAACATTTTTTTTGGGGGGGGAGCTTCTTTGTGTTGGTTTTCACCCTTCTCTTCAATCCCATTCATCTTATTTGCCATCCATAGTCTGAATTCTGTATCTGACATTTTAACAGTTTCCTTTAGATTGGGTTCCACTGCTATTGTGATCCTTGTTTTTTCATGTTGACAGAGTTCTTATTCTGGTTCCTTCTCACCTGGAATCTCTTCTCTCAGCTCAAGCTAGATATGCTTGCATTGCTCCTGTTCTGCTGGGAACTTTCCTATTTGGTGCAAAGAAGGAGAGGTCACTGGATGGTGCAACTGGGTCTGACTTTGGAGGATTGGGCAATGTACTATAAGCTTAACCTTGCTACTCTCCTTTGTCTCCTCCCTCATCATTACCGTGTGGTTGTCACTGACGGTCCCTGTGTTGCAGAATGAGTGAATCCCCCACTTAGTTCTGTCAGCAGTAGTCATGGTCACCTGAGCTGGCTTGAGAGCTGCTCCACTCAGATCTGCAGGTAGTGGCATTTGTCAGTCTGTGCCAAGTTGATTGCAGCCTGACCCATGCCCACGAGTGGCAGCAATTGTCTGCCTGTACTTTCTTGGGAGCTGCCTCGCTCAGATCGCTGGCAGCAGTGCAGGCTTGAGCACATCCCTCTCCACACCCATGGCGGTATTGATTGACAGGTTGCTCTGAGTTGAGAGCTGCCCTGCTCAGATCTGCAGACAGCAGCATTTGTTGGCTGGGCACTGGCTTGAGCCCAGCTCCTCCCAAGCCCATGGGTGGCGGTGATTGTCAGCTCACACTCCAGCTTGATAGCTGCCTGGATTAGATCTGTGGGCAGTAGTCTTTGTCAGCCCTTGTGGCTTAAGCGTAGCCCCACCCATGCCTGCAAGCAGTGGCAACTGTCAGCCCACGCCAGCTTGAGGGCTAACCCATTCAGATCCTTGGGTGGTAGCATTTGTTGGCTGGGTGCTGGCTTGAGTGCAACTCTGCCCTTGTCTGTAGGCAGCACTGACTGTCAGCCCATGTTGGCTTGAGGACTGCCTCATTCAGATCCTCAGGCAGTGGTGTTTGTTAGCCAAGCCCTATTCATACAGATAGGCAGCGGCGATTTGCAGCGAACATATCAAATAAACATTTGTAGTCCACGATCTTGGTCGCTTCCCTGTCTTTCAGTAGCTTTATTGTTTTATGTCTTACATTTAGGGCTTTCATCCATTTTGAGTTGACTTTTGTGTAGGGTGAGAGGTGGGGATCTAGTTTCGTTCTTCTGCATGTAGATATCCAATTTTCCCAGCACCATTTTATTGAATAAACTGTCCTTTTTCCAGTGAGTGTGAACAGCATCTTTGTCAAAAATCAGCTGGCTACAGATATGAGGATTAATTTCTGGGTTCTCTATTCTGTTCCATTGGCTTATGTGTCTGTTTTTATGCCACCACTATGCTGTTTGGAGAGCTTTCAAATTTCCTCATTACTGATTTCTAGTTTTACTAGATTGTGGTCAAATAAGATATCTGATGTAATTTTGAGTTTAAAATTTTGTTGAGACTTGTTAAGTGTCCTAACATATAGTCAATCCTGCAGAATGTTACATGTGCTGATGAAAAGAACATGTATTCTGCAGCTATTCGGTGCAATGTTTTGTAAATGTCCATTAGGTTCATTTGGTCTATTGTACTGTTTAAATCCAATGCTTCTTTGTTGACTTTCTGTCAAAATGATCTGTCCAATACTGAGAGTGCAGTATTAAAGTCCTCAAATATTATTGTTTTGGGAGCCTACTGCTTCCTTTAGATCTAATAATATTTGCTTTCTATGTGAGTGCTCTGGTGTTAGGTACATACATAGTTACAACTGTTATATTCTCTTGCTGACTTGATCCTTTATGTGCTTGTGTCTTTTTACAGCTTTTGACTGGAATTCTCTTTTGTGTGATGTAAGTATAGCTAGTTCTGCTTGCTTTTGGTTTGTGTTTATGTGGAATACTTTTTTCTATTCATTCACTTCAGTCCATGTGTGTCTTTACAGGTGAGACAAGTTTCTTGTAAGTAGCATATATTTTGGTTTTGTTTTTTTAATCCATTCATCCAGTCTGCACCTTTTAAATGGGGACGTTAATCCATTTACATCCAAGATTATTAATAATTGAGGACCTACTCTTATCATTTTATTGTTTTCTGGTTGTTTTCTGTATCTTTTGTTCCTTACTTCCTCTCTTGTTTATTTTTTTGGTTGAGTGGCTTTCTATAGTGATAAAGGTTTGATTCCTTTCTCTTTCTACTTTGTGTATCAGCTCTACCAATGTGTTCTATAGTTTCATGTTTTCATGGTGGTGGTTAATGTCTTTCACTTTGAGATGTCAACTGAAATCATGAATTGTTTTAATGATTTCATTGAATTGTCTCATCTGTATTTTCATGTATCTCAGAGTTTCCTTAAAGTAATTATTTTTCTGGCATTTTGTATATTTTCTTATGATTAGGGTCTGTTATTGAAGAATTATTGTTTTCCTTTGGAGGTATCATATTTCCTTGCTTTTTCATGTTTGATGTGTCTCTATGTTGATTTCTATGCATCTGGTGCAAAAGTCGCCTCTTCAAATTTTATGCAATAGGTTTCTTAGGGAAAGACTTTCATATAATAAATGGGTCTTGGGGTAGCAGTCTGGTAGGATGCATTGGCTTTGGTTCTATGTCAATGCAGTAGTACAGTCTTTATGTGGCTTCTTCAGTTGTAATCCACACTACTGATGCTTCCAAGTGGCTCAGAGGCCTAGGCTGAGTGTGTTTCTGGTAGTGGTTGTCCAGCTTTCCCAGGGGTGGGCTTGCCAGATTGCATCTCAAGTCGGAGGCATGTGCATGCCCATAGTGGGTTGTTTAACTTGGGGTCTGTCTTATTGGAGTTTGGGGTCATAAGGCTGTCACTCTGGCAAGAAGCACAGGCATGTGGATGCTCAACCAGCCTGGGGGGCATGTCTACCAGGGGCGTTCCCTGGTGTTATTGCTCAGGCCTGGGATACAATCACATGGCTTCTTGGCTGGCTTGGGCTGTTTCCCAGGTTGGGATACAGGCTCACAGTTATTTGGCCCTCCTGGGAGCTTGCCCACCAGTGGTGACCTGCAGGATTGCTTCTCAGGCCCTGATTTTCAGTGTAGGGCTGTTGGGAAGGCCAGGGACATGTTTCTGGTCTAAGAAAAAAGTTTAATATCTACCCACCTATGCTGCACGGCTGTTTCTCCTGAGGTCCTGAGTGTGGCACACAGCCATTCTGCTGGCCAGGGGTGTATTGGCTGCGTGTGGACTTGAAGCCCTCTTCTGCTTGAAGGAGGGCATGCAGCAGTTTGGCCAGCTCAAGGGCAGGTTCACTTTGGGTAGGACTGCCAGACTGTTCCTCTAGCTACAAGTGTGGTGGTAGTAGGGGGCTGGTTTCCCTTTGGTGTAGAATCAGAGTCATGGCCAATCTTGGACCCAGGCTCCTCACAGCTAAGGTTGGGCCCCTACTATGAGCCTGGTGGAATAAAGATGGAGACCCAGTGTTGGAGAGATGCAGTGGCTACTGGTCCCCAGAGCAGGGCACACTCTAGAGGTGGCTCTGGTCTTATGAGGTCACTGTACTGTAGCAGTTTAGCTCAGGGTGGGTGGGTAGGGTGTAGGGCAGGTTTCTTCAAACTATGGCCCGCGGGCCACATCCCACCCGCCTAGGACATTTATCTGGCCCACTGGGTATTTTTGCCGCTGCTGCCTGTCCTGCTTAGCAGCCAACTCATCCTGGGCCCACAGTGTGCACTCTCCAACGGTCTGAGGGACAGTGAACTGGCCCCCCATTTAAAAAGTTTGAGGACCCCTGATGTAGGGCATGCACTCCTTGTGCTCCTAATCTGGGGCAATACAACTGTGTGAATTCCTAGCAGCTCTCCAAACTGGGCTCAGGGTTTGCAAGGACTATGGGATTCTCCCGTAGTAGGGACCGTAGGTTTTTGCAGTGGCAATGGGGGCTGGTGAGGATCTTCTGCTTACATCTTCCCCATAATGGGAAGTCTCTCCTGACTCTAGGCAGATCCAATAAGGCTGCAGAGGTTATTCTCCTGAGATTCCAATCCACAGGTGCTTCTCCACTCTCCCAATGCACTCTAGCACTCTCCCTTCAACACTCCTGTCAAATCTTAGCTGTTCATTTGTTGCTGTGGTCCTTTCTTGTGGGGGTTGAGGGATAAGCACCAGGCATCTTTAGTCAGCTATCGTAAATATATTCCAAATTCACTACAGTGAACATGTACTGTTCGTATAAGCAAAACCCCAGTAAATTTTGTGGTGATGATTTAACAACCTGTGGCCTAGAACAGGAATTCTTCACTAGCTCTGAAGGATCAAGATATGGACTTTTGAGGAGAAGGTCTATGAAATACCTGAACCTATTCGTAAAATGTTATTTGTATGTATAACTCTATGTGTGGGTGGGTGTGTATTTGGAGAAAGCAAAGAAGAGGGGCCACAGCTTTTATCCATTCCTAAAAAGATCTATGATCCAAAAAACATTAAAATCACCCATCCAGAATTTTGCTTGACCGTATCCCAATTTCTCCTATTTTAGGGGTTGGGCATTATTCAATGGACTGAGAGATAATTTGCAACAGAAATTTCTAGTCTTAATTCAGGCATTCTGTATACCTGAAAGTTTCATCTCAAAATGAAATTTGCACAACTCCCTCAAAAAACAAATAATGAAGTGAAAAACAGTTGGATATAACTTCTGACTGAATCTCTGGAGAATATTTAATGCTAAATCTTTCAAACTTAGAATACTTAGTATTTTAGACTAAAAGTTTTCATGTTGTACACTGATCTCCTCTACCTCCACCCTCATGCATTTTGATAAAATCTCATAAATCACTCTGAGCCATAGACTTTAGAATGGAGTTCATCAGTTTCTATTCTGATCCATTCTGGAATAAGAGAACAAACTAAAGAGAATTTTACTGGAGAGAGAAAAGTCATTATTTTTTTTAAAAAATGAACTCTCTTGATAAAGGTCAAAGAATGACCATATATCATTAGTAAATGTTCTGCATTTGAAAGGAGACTGGGTGATACATTATTGTGACTGGATTAAGAACTCAATTTTATGTTTCTTGCAATCTTAACATTATATCTCTCTTAGTCTGTTTCATGATGCTATAACAGAATATTACAGACTGGGCAATTTATGAAGAACAGAAATTTATTTCCTTAACAGTTCTGGAAGCTAAGAAATATAAGACCAAGGCACTGGCATCTGGTGAGGGCCTTCTTGCTGTATCAGAGCCTGGCAGAAGGCATCATACAGTAAGACAGAGATGGGGAGGGAACCAACCCATAAAGAACCTACTCTCATGATAATAGTATTAATCTATTCATGAGGGCAGAGCCCTCATGACCTAATCTCTTAAAGGTCTCAACTCTCAAGACTATTGCATTAGGGATTACGTTTCAAACACATCAACTCTGGGGATATATTCAAACCATGGCAGTACTGGAACCTTTTTTATAGGACAAAATATTGATTTATTTCTTACCTGAATATTATGGTCTTTAAAAGCTAACACCACACAAGTCAATTTTACTTATTTCCAGATATTGATTACATCTAGAAGTACAAAAAAAAGCAGCAAACTTTTCCCTGTACTCTTATCCGCCCCTACCAAATCCATGATCTCTATAAGCATGTAATCTCCAAAAAAGATTTGCTACCAGATGTCTTTTAATTCTTGTGCTAATTACCCTATCGTGGTTCTATATAACTGATATATTTTATTATTCCAGGTTTGAGATTATAAATAATTTAAACTTCATGTGTTTATTATAGTAAAACATGGTTAAATACAATTTTGACAGCATTAAAAAAATTATAATTTTCATGTGTTGAATCAAAATAGATATAAAAATCTGATACAATTAAACTCTGATGAGATGGCAGTGAAATAAGAACCACCATATTTCTAGCAGGGTAAGCAATTTGATAATGTATATCAACACCTTAAAAAAAGTTCAGACCCTCCGAGTAATTTTACTCCTGGAAATCTAGTCTAAGAAAAAAGTTTAATATCTACCCACCTATTTATCTATTTCAAAATTAAAAATACCAACTTTAACCTTTATGCACAGACATCCACTATTAGTGAGTACCTAAAAAGGAAAGTAAAAAGAAACAATCTGTATGCCCCCAAACAGGGGAATAATGAAATAAACTCACAGGTATGCTATGCAGCACATAAAATTTCATTTAGGACAATTTTATAACAGAGAATTATTTATGCTATGTTAATGAGGAAAAAGTAAGATACAAAGTTGCACAAATAGTCTGATCACATCTGAGTAAAACATACTACCAAATACACATATATATTAAAAACAAAACGCCAAAACTTTGGTGTTTCCTATTAAGAATTCAAGTCAGTTTATACAGCTTCCTCTTGTCCCTTTTAAAATTATTTTCTTCTGCTAACTTATCAGAGTGGCATTGCTCTAGTAGTTACATCATTTAAGATGCTCTCCGCATCCACCTGCTAAATTGCGTTGAAGCCAAATAAGGTGAAAACTTGTTTCCCCTCAAGTACTTAAGATGTGCAAAATCTGAGATCCTAGGTACAAAGTGAGTCAGAAGTGTGGTTTGGGGAAGCAATTCTGTGGCTGAATCACATCTGTGGCATTTGCTTTTGTTTGCCACTCTGGTATGGTGATAATACTATTTGATGATACATAAAAGCTTGCATTTTAAAAGCATATACATTAAACAAATAATATATCCATTATCTACAAGAAAATGTTTCAATAATAAAAATGGAAATGAAGTGCTAATCAGAAAAGGTAACCTATAAGTTTTATGCTGTTTCCAAAGATAAGATCCTCTGAACAAATGACTGCAACATGTGGGTATTTTTCAAACTTTAAAAGTGACTATTATATGTTAGACTCCTGATACTTGCTATTTTCAAACTGTATTCATCATCATTTGTTTTCCTGATGACTTGAACATGTACAGATATAACAGAGGCAAAAGGTAATACAAATGCATATAAAATACATATAATAATTTAATG